CCTCCCACCCTCTGGTCTCATTCTCTGCAGTGAATCATTCACATTCCCACTCTCTGGTTTCCTCCTCTGCAGTGACCCATTCTCATCCCACCCTTTGGTCTCATTCTCTGCAGTGACTCATTCACATTCCCACTCTCTGGTTTCCTTCTCTGCAGTGATTCGTTCTCATCCCACCCTCTGGTCTCATTCTCTGCAGTGACTCATTCACATTCCCACTCTCTGGTTTCCTTCTCTGTAGTGATTCATTCTCCTCCCACCCTCTGGTCTCATTCTCTGCAGTGACTCATTCACATTCCCACTCTCTGGTTTCCTTCTCTGCAGTGATTCATTCACATTCCCACTCTCTGGTTTCATTCTCTGCAGTGATTCATTCTCATCCCACCCTCTTCTCTCCTTCTCTGCAGTGACTCATTCACATTCCCACACTCTGGTTTCCTTCTCTGCAGTGATTCATTCTAATCCCACCCTCTGGTCTCATTCACTGCAGTGACTCATTCACATTCCCACTCTCTGGGTTCCTTCTCTGCAGTGATTCATTCTCATTCCACCCTCTGGTCTCATTCTCTGCAGGGACTCATTCACATTCCCACTCTCTGGTTTCCTTCTCTGCAGTGACTCATTCACACTCCCACTCTCTGGTTTCCTTCTCTGCAGTGAGTCATTCTCATCCCCACCCTCTAGTCTCATTCTCTGCAGTGACTCATTCACATTCCCACTCTCTGTTCTCATTCTGTGCAGTGACTTATTCTAAATCCCACTCTCTGGTTTCCTTCTCTGCAGTGACTTATTCTAAATCCCACTCTCTGGTTTCCTTCTCTGCAGTGACTCATTCACATTCCAACTCTCTGGTTTCGTTCTCTGCAGTGATTCATTCTCACCCCACCCTCTGGTCTCATTCTCTGCAATGATTCATTCACATTTCCACTCTCTGGTTTCCTTCTCTGCAATGATTCATTCACATTCCCACTCTCTGGTTTCCTTCTCTGCAGTGATTCATTCTCATCCCACCCTCTGGTCTCAATCTCTGCAGCGACTCATTCACATTCCCACTCTCTGGTTTCCTTCTCTGCAGTGACTCATTCACATCCCACCCTCTGGTCGCATTCTCTGCAGTGAATCATTCACATTCCCACTCTCTGGTTTCCTTCTCTGCAGTGATTCATTCTCATCCCACCCTATGGTCTCATTCTCTGCAGTGACTCATTCCCATTCCCACTCTCTGGTTTCCTTCTCTGCAGTGATTCATTCTCATCCCACCCTCTGGTCTCATTCTCTGCAGTGACTCATTCACATTCCCACTCTCTGGTTTCCTTCTCTGCAGTGATTCATTCTCATCCCACCCTCTGGTATCATTCTCTGCAATGAGTCATTCACATTTCCACTGTCTGGTTTCCTTCTCTGCAATGACTCATTCACATTCCCACTCTCTGGTTTCCTTCGCTGCTGAGATTTTTTCTCATCCCACCCTCTGGTCTCGTTACCTGCAGTGACTCATTTACATTTCCCCTCTCTGGTTTCCTTCTCTGCAGTGATTCATTCTCATCCCACCCTCTGGTCTCATTCTCTGCAGTGACTCATTCACATTCTCACTCTCTGGTTTACTTCTCGGCAGTGAGTCATTCTCATCCCCACCCTCTAGTCTCATTCTCTGCAGTGACTCATTCACATTCCCACTCTCTGGTCTCATTCTCTGCAGTGACTCATTCTCATATCCAGTCTCTGGTTTCCTTCTCTGCAGTGACTCATTCACATTCCCACTCTCTGGATTCCTTCTCTGCAGTGATTCATTCTCATCCCACCCTCTGGTCTCATTCTCTGCAGTGACTCATTCACATTCCCACTCTCTGGTTTCCTTCTCTGCAGTGATTCATTCTCATCCCACCCTCTGGTATCATTCTCTGCAATGAGTCATTAACATTCCCACTGTCTGGTTTCCTTCTCTGCAGTGACTCATTCACATTCCCACTCTCTGGTTTCCTTCTCTGCAGTGACTCATTCACATCCCACCCTCTAGTCTCATTCTCTGCAGTGACTCATTCACATTCCCACTCTGTGGTTTCGTTCACTGCAGTGATTCATTCTCATCCCCACCCTCTAGTCTCATTCTCTGCAGTGACTCATTCACATTCCCACTTTCTGGTCTTATTCTCTGCAGTGACTCATTCACATTCCCACTCTCTCGTTTCCTTCTCTGCAGTGACTCATTCACATTCCCACTCTCTGGTTTCCTTCTTTGCAGTGATTCATTCTCATCCCACCCTCTGGTCTCATTCTCTGCAGTGACTCATTCACATTCCCACTCTCTGGTTTTCTTGTATGCAGTGATTCATTCTCATCCCACCCTCTGGTCTCATTCTCTGCAGTGACTCATTTACATTCCCGCTCTCCGGTTTCCTTCGCTGCAGTGATTCGTTCTCATCTCACCCTCTGGTCTCATTACCTGCAGTGAATCATCCATATTCGCACTCTCTGGTTTCCTTCTCTGCAGTGATTCATTCATATCCCACCCTCTGGTCTAATTCTCTGCAGTGACTCATTCACATTCCCACTCTCTGGTTTCCTTCTCTGCAGTGATTCATTCTCATCCCACCCTTTGGTCTCATTCTCTGCAGTGACACATTCACATTCCCACTCTCTGGTCTCATTCTCTGCAGTGACTCATTCACATTTCCACTCTCTGGTTTCTTTCTCTGCAGCGATTCATTCTCATCCCACCCTCTGGTCTCATTCTCTGCAATGACTCATTCACATTCCCACTCTCTGGTTTCCTTCTCTGCAATGACTCATTCACATTCCCACTCTCTAGTTTCCTTGTCTGCAGTGATTCATTCTCATCCCACCCTCTGGTCTCATTCTCTGCAGTGACTCATTCACATTCCCACTCTCTGGTTTCCTTCTCTGCAGTGATTCATTCTCATCCCACCCTCTGGTCTCATTCTCTGCAGTGACTCATTCACATTCCCACTCTCTGGTTTCCTTCGCTGCAGTGAGTCATTCGCATCTCACCCTCTGGTCTCATTACCTGCAGTGACTCATTCACATTCGCACTCTCTGGTTTCCTTCTCTGCAGTGATTCATTCTCATCCCACCATCTGGTCTCGTTCTCTGCAGTGACTCATTAACATTCCCACTCTCTGGTCTCATTCTCTGCAGTGATTCATTCTCATCCCACCCTCTGGTCTCATTCTCTGGAGTGACTCATTCCCATTCCCACTCTCTGGTTTCCTTCGCTGTAGTGATTCATTCTCATCCCACCCTCTGGTCTCATTCTCTGCAGTGACTCATTCCCATTCCCACTCTCTGGTTTCCTTCGCTGCAGTGATTCATTCCCATCCCACCCTCTGGTCTCATTCTCTGCAGTGACTCATTCCCATTCCCACTCTCTGGTTTCCTTCGCTGCAGTGATTCATTCTCATCCCACCCTCTGGTCTCGTTACCTGCAGTGACTCGTTTACATTTCCACTCTCTGGTTTCCTTCTCTGCATTGATTCATTCTCATCCCACCCTCTAGTCTCATTCTCTGCAGTGTTATATACTCATTCGCAATACCCCACATTCCCATTCTTTGGTTTACCCTACATTCTTATTTTAAACAGCTGTACATGGAGGAAGCAAGGAAGCGCATGTGTATGGAAGCTGAGGACCATCTTGTCACGTTCTACCCAAGCTTTGAGAAGCGGATTCTTGTTTTGCATGAAGTCATTTCTGAGCATTATGTGGTTCCATTGATATTGCTGAATGAGGCCATGGCGTATAAAACATGGAGGGATGCATTCAAGCGCCGTGGAAGAACGAGCGCGGGTTTTACGTCAAACGGACTTTGTTCGAGGGGTTGGGGGTTCCTATGAGTGGCTTGCGGGCAGCAGAAATCCACATCGACACTGAGCTCAAGGAGGATCTCTGGGGGGAGTATGGCCCGAGTGAGTAAACACCCGCCTGACCTTTTCCCCCACCCTCCCCCCCTCCACCTTGTTTCACCATCTCAGCCCTAGCACCCGTTTCTTGCAACACCCCATGTCTGTACTCCATAGCTTGGCGTTTCCTTTGCATGGACCGTTGTAGAAACCTGTGATTCGCCATCTCATCCACCCTCTTCCGTTTTTACACCCCACCCATTGAACCACCTTTGCTTGGCTGTGTTGCAGGTGCCGAGGCCCAACTGAGCACATGGGGAAATGCTGAGGTTACTGATCTCCCGTTCGGCAACGAGATCTTCTTCAATGCAGCAATGGACGCCTTCGGTGCATTTGCGGTGGGGAACGACATATGCTTGAAGGCGTATCATATTGCCTGGACTATCTTGGTGGTGAGTGGCTTGTGAGGGTCCTTTTACTTTTTTCTCATCCCACACTATTCTCCTTGGTAAACCCGTGCCATCCCGTGTAAACCTTAAACCCCGTGTTTCCACCTCCCTCTCAGGTGCTTCTTGGAACCTTGGTATCCACCTGCCCAGGGGAGTTGCGCCCACGCTGGGTTCACTCACGGGCTTACGTTGTTAATATTTTTCACCAATCCCCTCACGTCCATGCAGTACCCATCAGTATCCTTCCCCTCCCGTGTTTCTGAACACTCTTTGGTTTCCACTTCCTTTCAGAAGCTGCCCCACTCGTCTATCACCTTTCATGCTCACACTCTGCCACCATGGCGTACTTCACTGGATGTTGTGCTCGCCCCACATGATTCCGACCTCTTACACTTATCACGCTTGAATCTGTCCATGCTCCCCTATTTTGACAATGCGGATTGACTACGGCTTGTCGAAGGTCAAGAAGTCGACAATGAACCTCACAAACTCCCACCGAAAGAACACGTGGTGGGTGGCAAGCATCTGCAGGGCGGTGAAGCAGGCGGTGACGGATCATTTCAGCCAGGTGAACCCTGTCTACGACCCACGGATGAAGGGGTTTAAGTGGGGGAAATTTGGCTTGTTTGTCCATGAGTCGGGGTTCGAGGAGTATAGCCCAAGACCACAACCCTGCAATCCGACAAGGAGGGTGGCGTTAGTGCACGTCTAGAGGAGATGAATGGTGGAATTGCGGTGCTCCGAGCTTGGAGTAAGAGGAGATGTGGGGACAGGGGAACCACAGCAGGGAGGGGAGGAGAGGAACCACAGCAGGGAGAGGAGCAGGGGAACCACAGCAGGGAAGGGAGGAGAGGAACCACAGCAGGGAAGGGAGCAGGTGAACCACAGCAGGGAAGGGAAGAGAGGAACCACAGCAGGGAGAGGAGCAGGGGAACCACAGCAGGGAAGGGAGGAGAGGAACCACAGCAGGGAGAGGATCAGGGGAACCACAGCAGGGAAGGAAGGAGAGGAACCATAGCAGGGAGGGGAGCATGGGAGCCACAGCTGGGAAGGGAGGAGAGGAACCACAGCAGGGAGGAGAGCAGAGGAACCGCAGCAGGGAAGGGAGGAGAGGAACCACAGCAGGGAGGGGAGCAGGGTAACCACAGCAGGGAAGGGAGGAGAGGAGTCACAGCAGGGAGGGGAGCAGGGTAACCACAGCAGGGAAGAGAAGAGAGGAACCATGGCAGGGAAGGGAGCATGGGAACCACAGCAGGGAAGGGAAGAGAGGAACCACAGCAGGGAGAGGAGCAGAGGAACCACAGCAGGGAAGGGAGGAGAGGAACCACAGCAGGGAAGGTAGCAGGGTAACCACAGCAGGGAAGGGAGGAGAGGAACCACAGCAGGGAGGGGAGCAGGGTAACCACAGCAGGGAAGGGAGGAGAGGAGTCACAGCAGGGAGGGGAGCAGGGTAACCACAGCAGGGAAGGGAGGAGAGGAACCATAGCAGGGAAGGGAGCATGGGAACCACAGCAGGGAAGGGAATAGAGGAACCACAGCAGGGAGGGGAGCAGAGGAACCACAGCAGGGAAGGGAGGAGAGGAACCACAGCAGGGAAGGGAGCAGGTGAACCACAGCAGGGAAGGGAGGAGAGGAACCACAGCAGGGAGGGGAGCAGGGGAACCGCAGCAGGGAAGGGTGGAGAGGAGTCACAGCAGGGAGGGGAGCAGGGGAACCACAGCAGGGAGAGGAGGAGAGTAACCACAGTAGGGAGAGGAGCATGGGAACCACAGCAGGGAAGGGAGGAGATGAACCACAGCAGGGAAGGGAGCAGGTGAACCACAGCAGGGAAGGGAGGAGAGGAGTCACAGCAGGGAGGGGAGCAGGGGAACCACAGCAGGGAGGGGAGGAGAGGAACCACAGCAGGGAGAGGAGCAGGGGAACCACAGCAGGGGAGAAGGAGAGGAACCATAGCAGGGATGGGAGCATGGGAACCACAGCAGGGAAGGGAGGAGAGGAACCACAGCAGGGAGGAGAGCAGAGGAACCACAGCAGGGAAGGGAGGAGAGGAACCACAGCAGGGAGGGGAGCAGGGTAACCACAGCAGGGAAGGGAGGAGAGGAACCACAGCAGGGAGGGGAGCAGGGGAACCACAGCAGGGAAGGGAGGAGAGGAGTCACAGCAGGGAGGGGAGCAGGGGAACCACAGTAGGGAAGGGAGGAGAGGAACCACGACAGGGAAGGGAGGAGAGGAGTATCAGCAAGGAGAGGTGCGCAGGAGTAACAGCAGGGAGGGGAGCACACTAGTAACAACATGAGGGGGAAGCAAGGATTGACATCAAGGGGGCGGGGTTAAGAAATAAATGCACAGCAGGGAGGATGCAGTGGGGAGTAGCACAGCAAGGAGTATGCAGCGGGGAGTAGCACAGCAGGGAGGATGTAGGGGGGAGTAGCACAGCAGGGAGGATGTAGTGGGGAGTAGCACAGCAGGGAGGATGCAGCGGGGAGTAGCACAGCAGGGAGGATGTAACAGGGAGTAGCACAGCAGGGATGATGAAGCAGAGTACGGATCTAGGGTTGATAGTGGGTAGTAGTAGTGCAGGTGTCATCAACCGAGGATGATTTGTAGAGTAGCTAAGAACCAGAGAATAAGTAGGCATCTAATGTGTCGTAAACCTTTTCAAGCTAATATTATGATTTACACGTACATGCCTTCCCTCTTACGGTGTATTTATGGAAAGTGCTAAAGAAACTACCAACTGGGTTTTTCAAACTCTGATTATGTTTATTTATAATACCCCATAAACCCTTTCCAAGATTATTATATGCATATAAAAGTAAATAGCAAACCTTATACAAGTCTTAAATTGAAGCACATAACATGATATAAACAAGTTATCCCAAACAAAATGAAAAGTTCCTCACAACCATTTCCAAATTGTTTAAAAACACTTCGATCATCTGCAAAGCATCTGACATACCATCTGGAAAAAGTTCGATACTTCTTCTAAAAAAATACCGACCCCTACATCTTCAAATCATCAGCAAAAACACAACAAACACACTTCATGAGAGGTTTTCTACCACTTGATTTTAGTGATGAACGGACGCGAGCTAGATGCGAACATTAGTCTGAGTGATCAACTTTGAACAAGGCATAAGACACCAGCCATGTGTGCCCCAAGGACTCGTATGCTGCCAAAAATAAAAAGAAAACAAATATCTCTGTATATCTATAGGGTTGCTCATGATGCTAACATTGAAAAGAACACTCAGACATCAGGGATCCACATTGAGAATGAGCTATTCATATGCCCAGAGCTAGGGGGTAGTAGAGCCGAAGATTGGATGGGTGGAGAGTACGTTAATTGAGGGTTTGCGCTAGAAAATGAGCTCACACTCTTTGAGATTCGACCAAATACCCAAGCAGCGAGGCCCTCGCACATAAAGTATTGGCCAAGTGTATTGCTCGCCCCAACCAATCTTGGTAAGGCTGAACTTCTTGGCCCGCGGGTTTTAAGAAGTCACGAGTTGATCTCGTGAAACATGTCATACACGTTCTGTTCAACCCTGTTCTACTACTTCAGTCAAACACCCAACATGTTAGGTTTAAACAACCTTCTGCGAACACCTCGTTGATTCAAACAAATTTAGACTAAATAATTGAGCAAATAATTGAGCGAATAATCAAGTTCTTTGCTCATCCCTACTACCACCGAATGTAGCGCCGCTTGCGGGTTTAGAAGAAGTATGAAAAGCACCCTAGTAGTACCAACAACCCAACCCTCGCTCCATGACCCGCAGACGCGAACACGCGGCAGAAGCGGCAAAACCGCGAGTATTCGCTAACGGAACGGCGAACGCGCTGTGTGCACAGAGGAACGGTGAGCGGTTGTGTGCGGTTGGTTCAGCCAAAACTTCTGTGTCGGACGCTCTGTACCTCGCATTCCGTTCGAAGCGGCAAGGGCGTTTGGCCGACAACACATGATGCTAGTACTAGTGACGAATTTGCACGCGGCGCGTGCGGAGCAAAGGGCTGCCAGAGAGCTTACAGGATGTGTCGGCATGACCCAGCGCAATTGCGAGGTGGTCTTGACCACGCTCCGGATGCCAGTGTGTGACTCGAGACTCTATTGAGTGAGTAGGCACGGCTCGTACTACGCAGTGATATGTGCAATTAACACTGTTGAGAGGCAAACGCCTGGCGAATCGCGCGTCCAAGAAAGGTGAAGGATACTTTGGACGTGGTGGTATGTGGCAAAACACGATTTCCTCGACCTGCTCCTACAACGGTAAAATCGCCAATGAGGACCCGTCACCTCTAGACCCGCAGCGCTCGATCTCGGGGTGTTACATAGAACTGTAGCGTTGTTTGGAAAGGGTTACTCGTTTTGTTTAATGTTGGCAAAACTATAGTAGTCTTGGCCCTACGAACTTGACACCTCCAACTTTCACGATCAGCATATTGTCGAGGGCACACCGATCTCCCGCCAAATGTGCCAGTATACTAAAGATTGACAGGGGTGCACCGATCTTTCTTTGAGCCTGGACTCACATGCCAGGTTCGGTATCAACCGCTGAACCTCCTCCAAACCGCTTGGGGTAACGCGTCCATTTTGCAGGTATGAATGATTAAGGACGTGTCCAAAATATAGAGTCAGGGGAAAGTCACATACAAGCAACAAATTGCAGCGAGATTAATATTGTGTCCAGCGCGTATGTTTACACCTTATTTGTTGTTCATCTACCGCGACGCAATATGGTCAATCGCGCACAATGACTCATCCTAATTGCAGCCAGTCCAAACCTTGTCAGATTTATATGACATAGCTGTTGTAGGCTATAGTGGGGTAGCACATATGGGGTACAGCTTTCTAGGGTTTGTATTTGTACCCAACTTTCACTTAGTCATTTCATTCTCGTTCTAATTTCCTCATGGTATCGAGCACGTTCCCTCGTGGGAACTGTGCCTAGAGCCCACCACATCGAACCTTTTTTTTTTCCTGCCCGGAGCGCACTCAGCCCGAGTCGCGCCCCTGTCTCTCACTTCGTCGAGCCGCCCTAGCGGCCCCAACGCCCTAGCGGCCCCATCGCCCTAGCGGCCCCAACGCCCTAGCGGCCCCGTCGCCCTTCGCTTCGGCCCCGCCGCCCTTCGCTGCGGCCTTGCCGCCCTTTGCTGTGGCCCCGCCGCCCTTTGCTGCGGCCCCGCAGCCCTTTGCTGCAGCCCCGCCGATCTTCGCTGCGGCCCCGCCACCCTTCACGGCAGCCCCGCCGCCCTTCACTGCGGCCCCGCCACCCGTAGCTGCGGCCCCGCCGCACTTCACTGCGGCCCCGCTGCCCTTCACTGCGGCCCCGCCGCCCTTCACTGCGGCCCCACCGCCCTTCTCTACGGCCCCGCCACCCTTCGCTGCGGCCCCGCCGACTCCCTTACGGCCCCGCCGCCCTTCGCTGCGGCCCCGCCGCCCCTCTCGTTACAGCCCCGCCGCCCCTCTTGCTGCGGCCCCGCTGCTTACCTTCCGGCCCCGCCGCCCTTCGCTGCGGCCCCGCCGCCCCTCTCACTGCGGCCCCGCCACCTACCTTGCAGCCCCGCCGGCCTACCAGCGGCCCTGCCGCCCTACACCACCGAGCCGCCCGCACCGCTCCGCAGCCCGAGCCGCCCGAGCCGCCCGAGCTGCCCGAGCCGCCCGTGCCGCCAGAGCCGCCCGACACGCGTGAGCCGCCCGAGCCGCCTGAGCGGCTGAGGAGCCGAGCCACAGTTGCTGCTGAGCCATTCGAGTCGCCCGAGTCACCGTGTTGCCGTGTTGCTGTGCCGCTGAGCTGCCCGAACCGCCCTGTCTGGTGAGCGCAGCGCTTCTGTCACTGCACTGCCCCTGTCCTACAGTTGGTACTGCTACTCTACTGCTGTCATGGCTACCCCCAGTGTTCTCGCTTTTGACATTGAGGGTCGGACCATTGATTTTGAGGTCTGGGTAGATAAGCTGCAGCTTTTTCTACAGTGCGATAGAGCAGACGGTCTCTCCCTCTTTGACCTCACCTCTGGCGCCTCTCCTGCCCCTGCTGCTGACGCTCACACCACTGTTTGCTCCAAGCGGGCCACGCGCGATGCTGCTGCACGTCTTGCTGTGCGTCGCCACCTGCCTACTACTGAGCGCGCGCACTTTAGTCAGTACAAGAGTGCTCAGACCTTGTACGACGCTGTAGTTGCGCGCTACTCTTCCCCTACCATTGCTGCACTGAGCCGCCTCATGCTACCGTACCTCTTCCCTGACCTTGCTGCCTTTCCCACAGTCGCTGACCTCATTACGCACCTCCACACTAGTGACACTCGCTACCGCGCTGCGCTTCCTGCAGAGTTCTGCGCCAAGAACCCCCCCACCCCCCATGTACATCACTCTCTATTACATAGTCAATTGACTCCCTGACTCTCTTCGTGTAGTCACGGACCACTTCCTCTCAGTCTGTCCAACCACTCTTACTGTTGACCTCCTAGAGAAAGCCCTCCTAGCAGCGGAGAAGAGCATAGTCGCTGTCGGAGCCTCTCGTGGTGACCCCGCACCCCCATCTTTGAGGGGAGTTCCCCTTTCCCCCTTTTTCCCTCTGTCGCCTCTGCTGCTGCGGCCGACCTTGTTGGTCTTGAGTCGGTCGGTGCGGCGTCCGCCCCTAGCAGGAGATGCCGCTCTGGCAAGGGCAAGGGGGGCAAGGGCGCGGGTGGAGCTAGCGGGGGTGGTGGAGGTGGCGGTGGAGGCGGCGGGGGGAGTGGGAGTGGCGGTGGGTGTGGTGGCGGAGGTGGAGGTGTCGGTGGCAGCAGCGGAGGCGGAGGCGGCGGAGGCGGTAGCGGTGGGAGCGGAGGCGGCGGCGGTGGCGGAGGTGGAGGAGGCGGTGGTGGAGGAGGTGGAGCTAGTCCGGGTGGCGCCTCGCAGCGGAGCGGCTCCGATGGTGGTCAGCGCCAGCAGCAGCAGCAGCAGCGTTCTCG